TTGTAAACGCCGAGCTCTCATAATCGAGGATGAATTCAAAAACACTTACTTTTCCTGATTGTTGTAAACCAAGTTATCTTTAACCGGCTGGTGACTTGCCTGCGTGCAGACGTCTCCTATTTCCTTTGTTGCACGCGGAAAAGGGACGTCTGCGTAACGCCGTCGCTAATCGTGTTCCAGCATCCCGCTGGGTTCCCAAGATCTTGGGAACATGCTCTGATAGGCTGACACACAGTGCGCATTGTTTGACATAACGCTGATTGGTTGTTATCGAATCTGGTCTGATAATGTATGCGGTAATTGATGTAATCGGGGTTTTCCAGCCAAAAGAAATCAAAACATGTGCCATTGTGTGCAGACCGTTCGAAATCTTGTGCGAGGCCGCGGAAAATTTAACGTGTACGAGGAAATTGTTTCTTTACAATTTACTGTGCACGACACATCACATCATATTTGTAAACAGTGCCTGAGAAAACTACAAAAGCGGCTTGGACTTCGCACCAGGCAGGCATTTCGGAGAAAGCAAGCCAAAGAAAGTAAAATCTTTATTTCGCCGTAACAAACAGAGGTCAAAGAAAATTTAAACACTTTACAACTGCATCTGAAATCAAATCCTACCAGGAACACCCACAGAAGCATAAACCACAGGAAATGATTGCTCAGTATACATGTAACAAACCTGCTTCATGACCTCTAAATGTAAGACTTGGTGCGGCAAAAACGAGATTTACTCAGTCAAAGTTTAGCATGCTACATGCACTGTGTAGTGTTAGTAACCTTCGCCCGAGAGAGAAAAGAAGAAAAACCTCTGCTCAAGCAGACTCTCAAGGTCACGTTTCGCATTATCACGAGCTTATTATGTTGTGTTTGGCCTGTCAACTCTTATTTCTAACCGGATATTATTTCACAATTTATGCGAAATAGAATACCCTGCCAGCGGGACGCTGGAACACGATTAGCGACAGCGTTACGCAGACGTCCCTTTTCCGCGTGCAACAAAGGAAATAGGAGACGTCTGCACGCAGGCAAGCTGGTGACCATATAAAAAAAATCCTTGCACATTTCCAAGTTCTCAGCTGAATGATTTTGAAAGCATTGGTCTTGAAAAAGTTTGAATTTGACGGCCGTCGATAAAACCCGGAACATGGAACATCCCGGAACATTCCGGAACATTCCGGAACGTTCCGGAACATCCCGGAACATGAAAAAATTAAAATATTTTTTTATGAAAAAATGATTAATTAACTAAATAATAATAATAATAATAATAATAATAATAATAGTAATAATAAATAATAAAAGGAACAATAGATAGAAAACAGTTTTTGCAAAAATTTATAATAACAAAATAAATAACATAACATAACATAAAAACGAAAAATAAAGAAACAAACCAAGAAAGAAAGAAAAAGAAACTGAGCCGCCTAGTCTGTAAGTAATTCATGTTCAAAGAAAGCAAAGCACCTCAAGTAAGCAAATGTCGGTTATAAATAAGGAGACTATATGTTGGCTTGAAATGAGCTACTTACCGACTTGGCTTGACATGAAATACTGCACCGACATTTCAGACCATTGCAGAACCGTAAATGGATAACCGCCAAATAATTAACTCACGGCAAACAATTACAAGAGGTAACTGTGTGAGGAAAGCTTAAAAACCCCCCTCCTCGCGACCCATTTTATTATATTTTGAATTTAGAAGCAAACCTTCACTCGTTACTGTCATTTGCATGAACCCTCACTCGCCCAACAAATTTTAATTTGTTGCGACAAAATATTGTTTTCTCATACTCACAGAGGATATCAGTTTCTTTTTCTTGATTAATTGATTATTTTTCGTTTTTCTTTTGTTATTTTACGTTATTATTAATTTTTACAAAAATTATTTTAATTATCATTATTTTATTATATTTTTTTTCGTGAAAATTATTTTTATTTTTTCATGTTCCGGGATGTTCCGGAATGTTCCGGCATGTTCCGGCATGTTCCGGAATGTTCCGTGTTCCGGGTTTTATCGACGGCCCTTACATACTTGAGAGATCATGATTATTTCAAACAACAAAAAGAAGATCTGCTCATTATTACTAAGAAAAACAGCGATCCTAACCATAAATATATTGATGATAAGAGTGCTTGGTGAGCGAGTTTATAATTTAATATAAACAGAGATGTTCTTAAAATCTCCGAAGCCATTTTAATTGTAGTTTTCCGTGTCCTTTAAACTTTTTGAAGAATATCTTTTATTGAAATGGACGTGATTATCGAAAGCCTGCGATAAAGTTAACGGTGATGTTATCACACCTACTTTGCAGTAGAAATTTTCTAACAGAGCGGATGCAAAATCTTGAATGTGTATTTGAGGTAAAGCTAACGACTCATTCAGTGGATAATTACTTATCAGGACGGGGCTTAGCGTTCTGCACACAGTCCATGTGCATTTTAAGGAAGTTAAACCGGTTTGAACAAAGATGACTAGGTAAAGTTTATTTTTAAATTTAAGTTACATTATCTTCGATAACAACTGTGCGAGAGTACAAAAACGTGCACGCAGTTGAACACAGAGTTTGGTACAGACGATAATACTGAGCACTGAGTTTAAAGTCCACACTAATGATACACACAAGAGAAAAAGAATAATAAGAAGAATAAAATTTTATCAAAAGGATTCGAGTATTGACATTTTGACACAATATACCATTTTCTTGATTACTTCTTGTTTCTTCTTTTGGCTTCATGGCTTTTTAACTTTTGCTGTTAGTACGACCTGAGCTCTTCCCATTGTTTTGTTTTTTGAAACAGATATCCCTTTAGCTTACCCGTAAGGTTTCAGCTTTTAAATCTTGCAATTTTTTGCTGATTTCTGTCGTTTTGCAGCGATTCAGCCTCGACTAACCAATGTTTGTTTGTGTTTTTGCTAAAAAGTTTCCCGCTTTAGCCTCGCAATCATGCTGTGAAGTCTCTCGGCCCAGGACCGTCGGGGAATACGAATATCGTCTATTGTATTGTTTGATAGAGTCTTATGCTTATTTTTATTGTTGTTAACAGGAAGAAACAAGCCTAACTGGGGCAAGCCAGATAGCAGACCTTGGTGGTGGCATGTTGATATTGCTTTTGCAGATGCTGTAGTTCAATTTTTTTTCTGGTTTAAATTTTTTTTGAACCAGTTCAAAATTTTTAAACTGGTTTTATTTTTTTTATACCAGTTTAATTTTTTCAAATACGTCACTTTTTTATTTTACTCAAGGGGAGTTTATTCTATGTAATCCTTAAGTAGTGAATTAAGTGATTAAGATTAAGCACTCGTTTTACTGATTAGGGTTAAGCATTCATTTTACTGATTAGGGTTAAGCAGTCATTTAGGGTTAGGGTTAG